ATTTTTGGATTTTTGAGTGCATAAATATATGCATATTTAATAATAATTTTTGCATAAAAATCCGGGCCCTAATTATAACAAATGATGCCACCATCCCAAAGTACAATTGTTTTGAGTATTTTCGAATTAGATTTAATGTACATATTATTTTTTATACGCGTCCAGTTTTATTTATTTAGAAATTCACTGCGTCATTTTTTGTAAGTTGGTGTTTTCAATATATTTATTTTATGTACTAATTAGTTAATACCATTTAATATTTTATTTATTATTACCTATAATATAATTGAAATTATATTGTACGATCAAATTATACAATAAGCTATGCTTGAGTAACTTTCTAATAACATTTTTTTATGGTCCTGGCGTGTTCCTATAGTTTTATATAGAGGTTGAACTTCAATAAAACGGAACATTCTTAACGCGGAAATGGAACGATTTTGTAGGTCCAATGCAAGCAAAAAACCTTGCATAAGCCGGTAATATGACACGCGGTATGTTAGTTGATATGAATATATGTAGGTATATCGTAAAACGATAATTAAAATAAAACTGCTCGATATTATATTAGTTAGGTAATTTGTATTTTTTGGTTATCGTATTTGCGATACAAACTTATCCCGTATGTATAATGTATATCTATGAAACAGTTATGCACCAACGGTCTTACACTGAACCGTTTGCTTGTACATACTAAACTATGTCCATTCAAATACATATAATATTGGAAAAATAGAAAAAAACAGTAACAAAACAAAAATTCTAAATGTTTTTTGGAAAAGCTAAATGTTTAAATTTAATTCTCAACCTTCATACTTCTGTAATATGTATAAATTGTTAATAATTTTGTAAGAAAATAAGTCTATAATTAATCTAAAATAAGTTATATAAAGTAAAGTAATAAATTAAGTTTATAATTAGTCTCTAACTAAAAAAATAAAAATTAATAATGTTGTAAACTAATTTTTAATGTGAAAAACTGATACGAATTTATAATCCGGAATTTTTTTCGTTTTATTCAATAAAGCGAAAAACTGCTTAAAGCGGAATTTTTGATTGGTCCCATGCTATTCAGCATTAAACAGTTTTCACTGTAATATGTTTAATCATTTTAAAAATTTCATTTCTATTATTTTTATTATGTAATGTCAATGATTTTATGAATTAATTTTTATGAGTGATTTTTTTTTTTTTATTACCTATCTATTAAATGCTCTGTTTAATATACATGTACCTAACATTTTAATAATCATAATTCTATGTAATTCAATATACTACATTATCTGAATAGGTATTTTACGTTATTATTATATAATAATTTTTAGTTTAGACAAAAAAAAAAAAAAACATTTGAATACATACATTGAATATACACAGGACGCACCTAATAAATGCACACTCACCGGTCGTAGATTATTTAAAAACTACAAACAGTACAAACAATTTTTATAATTAATTTTAAATATTTTCATTTTTTTAAATATATATATTATGATAAACAATGATTAATGAGCATGAACCAATCCATAAATTTCGTATATTAATAAGGTAATTTATTCTGTTGGATTTTGAACTGCTAGTTCTCGTTTAGCAATAGTGCAATACTATATAAAAAAAAAACGTGCGATTTATTATGCATTTATATGTACACATTGTACATGTAATACATTGTATATTTTGTATAAATATATTTTAAATCTTTGAATTTGATTATTTATCAATGATTCAAAATAATTTAACAATACTTAAATCACCAATCTAAAAAAGTTATTAAAATATTTATTGTTATAAGCAAATATTAAAGTTATTTAAATTAATTAAAAATATAAGTTAATTTATAGAATTAAAACATTACACAAATTGTTTATTGTTACTTATTTGTGTATAAAACAGTTATTATATAGTGAAATATTTTATGATGTTTAGCATTTCATATTGTTATTGACCAACTTAATTTCTTAAAATTAATTTCATTATTTTTATTTACACTATTTTCCGCATATGCAATCAGCAAGGGCAAGATGAGTTAAGTCTTAAACTTAATAAATTATTAAAAGCCATCTGTATAATATAATAATTCGTATTGTAATAAATATGTATACGAGCATTTTTTCGGTAACACAGAATATCTTACTTTGAAATGGGTTCGTCTTATAAAATTAAAGTGACACTTGAATATTTATGTAAAAACGTTTTTAGACTGCTGAATGTACGCTTGTTTATCAATTTTCGATTTGAAAAAAAACATTCTTTTTCAATTTTTTTGGTTATTTCCCAAACCAAAAAAAAAAAAAACAAAAATATACTTAATTTTGATTAAAAACGTTTAAAAGTTATTAGTAGGACTAGGATTTATATGGAATAAAAATTTGTAAGATATGTATTTGGTTTATTAAAAATATGCAATTAATATTATATACGCCAAAAAATATGAAATTTACACTTAAAAAAAAAAATCATACAATTTAAAATAAATTAAATAAGATTCTTAACTATTATCACGCTATTTAAATGTATTACACAAAACAATTATATGGTGTTATAAATTTTTGAAATTGGACGGCCTTTTGTTAGACTTTTATATATAGGTATACCTTAAATAGATATTTTTGAACAGGGTTAATACATACTGTCGTATGATAGAAACGTCTAGTAACGAAATACATCATAAAATATGCATTTATCGCGTTTTTATAGTCGAAATATGCAAAAATATTCAAAATAAAATCACCACTGTTTATCTTATCATAAGTTGATTTGTGGACATTACTTACAAAAGAAATAATCAGAAGTTGCAAAAAAAAATATACTGTTGTATATAAATCCTAGCCTTACTTATTAAAAAGCAAGATTTATTTCTCGCTATAGATTTAAATGATTTAATTAAAATAAAATATTATTACAACGAAGTATTTTATTTTTGCTGAGAGAGAAACTACTTAAAAATGTCAGAATATGATAATAATAAGTAAAATCAAGCATAATAAGAGCAGACCAAGTGGTGCAAGTCCAAGTGTGTACTATGTAGTTTAGACAAACATTTACATTTTTATTTTTAAATATGAATATGATGACAGCAATTCAGTTTTTGTTGAGTCAATTTGTAAAATTGTTCTTAAAAACCCTCTATTGCAAATAATAACTCAAATTCTTTGCATAGCTTAGAATTTAATTGTATAATAAATTTGTTTGATAGCACTCGTATATAAAAATAAAAACGAATTTGAAAAGTAAATAACTGCATTGTTCTTGTATTTGGTCTGTGACCGTGAAAAAGTGTTATAAATGTAGCAATTAGAAAAATAAAATATCTCGTTAAAATAATAGATAGTTAGCTCGAAGTATTTTTGAAAAAGAACGAGATTCTATAAGTCTTATTACTGAAAATGATCTATAAAGGTGAGGACAATTATTGTATCAAATAATGTACAATTCAGTCTCTGTGCATTATTCGTATACATTACAATATTATACTATTGTTTTTTTTTTTTTGTAACAATTGCCGGAAAGGAAAGGAACTTATCTCATGCGGTAGAGAGAAATGTCCAAAACAATGTGCATTACCATATATTGTATTTGTATAACACCAAAGCCACTTCGGGAAGGATATTTTATTTTATTTTTTTTGTTTTTTTTTTGTCCTAAGACTCGATATCTGCGTTGTGCATTGTTCCGTTAATAAAAAGGGTAAACTCACGCCATGGTGGCGACGGTTGAAAAATTTGGTAGCACTGTTTCTTTTTCCTATTTTTTATTTTTACAATCGTATAAATCTCTAGTCAAATCCTATGGGTATCAATGGTTTATTTTTCGAATTAGAGGCGACATATTTCGTAAACGCGATCGTCCAGCTAAGATTAAGATCAAAAATACCGACTATAATACCCGCATAATAATATCATTTAGATTTATAACCACATGATAACCGATATTATGTTGTGAACAAATTTATTCTTATATCATACTTGTGGAAAGTGTTCAATTAAATTAAAACGCGCTATAAGCTCTCAGAGTTGAAATTATTAAATTTAATATGATTGGTTCTGTGAAACAGGTCAGAAAAAATATATACTGTGAATGTATTTCACAGACGAACAACATATTTATTATTGCGCTTGTGCAAAAGCTAAACGCCAAGAGAAATAATGTAAAGAAATTCCAATTATGGTAAGTGACCAGAATTGAATGCGAGGGTATTTTGAAGACATTGAAATGACATGACGGCTTTGTAACATGCGATTTCTGCATGCAATATTAAAAACTGTGATGTAAACTTTAGAGACGCGATATCTATGATAATTGATAGGCACATAATATTATAATTATAACGCATGCGTATTACCGTTGTAACAAGACTTGACTTATCTAAAATAGCGTTTGTTTTAAACGCAGCATTAAAAACGAATAATTTTAATTTCCAACGAAAATAGGTTATAAGCCGTGGCATATTATGATGTGTTGAATGACAACGGAGTTAAATAAATTGAATTAAGTTTATTGAATTAGGTGACAGAATAATAATGAAAAATATAACAATTTGCAGTCCTTAAAGTTCTATACTTCTGATAATTAAAAAAAAAAAAAAAAAAATTATTGTAATATAAAAAAAATGTAATATTGTATTGCACTATTGCTAAACAAGAACTGGCAGTTCAAAATTCAACAGAATAAATTACCTTATTAAAATACGGAATTTATGGATTTATGTCGTATTAATCATTGTTTATCATAAAAAAAAAATATAATAAAAACAATGAAAATATTTAAAATTGAATATAATATGTCATAACATGTTTGTATAGTTTTAAAACCGTCAGATAGTTAACCGATGAATATTTTTTTAATAATTGAAATAGGTATATTATACTTTTACTGTAGTATATAAGCGATGGACGTAATTGCTATATTTATTTATTTACACAATTGTAATATTATTATCATTATTCAAAATTAAATGTATGGCGTTGTATATTTATTGGGTCGTTAGTTGTAGTGATTAGATCATTTAAATACTGAAGTTTGACTTCAATGTATTTTTTATTATAACTTAACTAGCGAGAGCTTATAATAATTAAAATGAGTATTTTTATATTGTTTATCTTTTTTTTTCTAAGACATATATGGATTCCAATTAATGCAGATGTTTTGCCAGGTAAATATTTGAAATAAATAAAGTTATATATGATAACAAAATAAATAAAATATCAACGAAAAATACATTAAATATATCGAATTGTATGTTAGATTATGCACTGCAGAATACCACACAATTTGATTGTAAATTGTATTGGTATAACACAAATAAAAAAAATATTTAGTAAACGTATCGTGAGATTGCTAGTAAATAATCTCAAAACTCGATGCACGTTATACTGATTACTTTAGGTCTGATTTGTTTTATTTCCTTCAAAAATGATTTCTTATCAACTATCATATAAAATATTAATCATAATATGATATATATATATATATATATACACACACATATATAATATTTAAAATAGTTGTTGCTTATTATACTAAAAAAAAAAAAATTATAATAATATAAATTTGCATACTTATGTAAACGTGGTTTTAGAGTTGACAACTTTAATAAATTATAATATATATTATATATATATTTATTTCATACGATACTTTGAACAACATAAGTTATATAGCAGTGCGCAACCAGGATTTATTCAAGGGGATGGGGGCAAACATTTTTATTTATCTACTGTTTTTCTGTTCTTTTTCTTAAATAATATATACAAAATGATACTATGGTATAAGTAAAAAATATTCTTCATCGTTGAGTTAGTCACTGAAATGGATAATGTGTTACATTTGAGTTCAATAATAATAAATCCTAAATGGTTAAAATTATATTAATAAAATAAAACTTAAATGATACCGGAAAAGTAAAAAGCCATATGTTATGCTGAGTATAGGAGAACATTTTTTAATCCAATACGTGACACCAATTTAAAAATAAAAAATAAAAATACGCATTATAGTAAAAATAATATTTTATTTCACTACTCAAAATTTAACACCGAAGAGTACCTACAAAAATTATAATATTAAATCTCGTAAAAATTTGATAATGTTACTATAATGTCAAATTGTATGAAAAACCTTGAAATCTAATTTAACTACTTTAAACATTTGTAAATAATCAACTAATTGTATAAAAAAAATTAAAATTATCATTCAATCAACGAATACGCTTAACATAACGCATATCACATACTAATCAATTACTATATAAATTAACTGTTTATTTTCAGTTCTTGGAATATCACCGTGTTTATATTCAGGTAGTTACGATGAAAGTGGAAATTACGGTTTAGTTTCACCAATGCCGATTTCATCTCTACCACTGGAGTGCACATCCTTTATTTATGATGGATTAATATATGTTGATAATTTAGATATTAATCCTAATGCTCAATCACTGGGTAAAGAAAAACTATTATTGAAAACAAATTAATACCTAATTGAATTTATACGAGTATGCAATCAGTGAACAAATAGATACCTAAAATCGCATATTTAAAAAAAAATACTAAGAAAGTAGATTAAGGCAGAGACGTCATTCTTAAAAGAGGAAGAAATTCTTTATTTGATACTATTTATTTCTAATGGACTAGGCTGGTCTGGCTATATAATATAATTTTAAATTTATCTATTAATATAAAATATTAAACACGTACATAAAAATAAAACATCTGCATATTAAAATCAACGAACAGAATAATCTCACCATTAAATTCGTTAGACCCTAAATAATTATTTCAATTAAATTTATTTTTCAATATGTTGTAGAGATTAAGACTGCAAATGTAAACAATATAAGATTGACAATAACTATACCATTTTTTTTTTTCTACAAATTAAAAAGTTTTGTTTTTTAGGTATTATAAGAGGTTTAATGAATTCCGGAAAAAAATATTTTTTATTTTATACTCATGGATCTTTAGAAAATTGGATAAAATCATTAGAAAATTTAGATGTTAACGTTGAAAAGAATAAAATGTTATTATATTTTAATCAGTATTCAGTGACGGGGTTAATACTTAAAGACATAGATTATAATTTTGATTCTGTAAGTATTTACCTATTTAAACTATATTTATAAATTATTATTTTGATAATATTTAGAACTACTTATAGTTAATAAGTAATAGACATTAGCATTATGTTTGAATGATCATAGATTTTATCGCTTATTAAAAAATTTGGTTTTAAATTTAACTGAAAGCAATAGCACATATTTATCTTAGTAAATAGTAATTGCTTTATTTTCAATGAGAATAATGATATTGTAAATATAGGGAAGACAATTAATTATTTTAGCATGTTAAAATTGGTAAATTGTAAGGGATTAATAAAGTCATATTTTAAGTTATAACTATCATCTATACTTGCTCTAGTTGAGCCTATTAATGTACTCGTATTAATTTTGTCCTCGGATTTTTGCGTTATCGAATCCATAACATTTCTAATGCATGATTTTACTATTATCGGTAATTTAGGTATAGGCACTTTTTTTGAGGATACAAACTACTAAATATGTAGTACAGCGAAAAATAGTGGTCTAGAATTTTTAGGATAGATATAAACTAATGATTGCGTTCCGTGTTTTTTTGGCAAATAGCATATTTTGGTGTTTTTTTTTTTTTTTTTTTTTTTTGACAGGAAACACTATTTAGAGCTGTGGAAATGCTTTAATTTTCAGTTTTGAGAGTGATTTCTAATAGAAAATCAGATCTAGTGGTTATTTGGTATAAATAAGAGGAGACGATTCAAAAGTAAAATGTTTTTAGTAATTTGTAAAATAACCCGGAAAAACAGAAATTTTTACAGAAAACCAGAAAGAAAACTAGAATTCAGCAAAAACTATTTCGTATTTTTTTTTATGAGTAATTCAAATCATAGATATTTAAAATGTACATAAAATTTTAAAATTATTTTGGCTCTTTATGATTTTAAGTCATTTTAAATTAAAATTGTTTATTGTTTATTTAAAAAGGAAAAAAATTTAATGAACTGAGATGAATTAAAAACAAGATTAATTGATATTGTATTTTATGTTGTAATTTTGTTTCACTTGCGAATTCGGGTTATAAAGTTAATGTGCTATAAACCTATACTATAATAGCTAACTGTTAATATCATATTAAGTATGACTCTATGATAGAAATATTGAAAATGGTAAATATTAATAGGGCCACAACTCGTATATATAACATACAAAAATCCAAGCAGCACAATTTGGATTACATATTTTTTTTTGGAAGTTATGAACCCAATTAGTATACAGCCGTACTAGGTATATGAAAATTATCATTATTTAAATTATGACATTTTAAAAATAATTAATTTTATTAATTTGCACTATCTATTTATTTACTATACTCTTGCTCTTAATCAATTATATTCTCTTGTTTTATCTACTCTTTACGTAAAATATAATTGATTATTATTTAGTTCAATCCAATACTATGCGAATTTATAGATAACAACAATATTTTTTATACTCAAATATTTTCTTCAATAAAAATGAGCTAGAATAAATAAATTTACATAGTTAATTCAGATAATAAATGTATTATTTTTTATTGTTTTTTAGGGTTTAACTTATCACATTGATGCATATTTCTACAGTAGTTTGAGAGATTACATAAATAATATAAAAAGAACTTTTATTAATTTAAAAGTTGGATTGTATTTAAATGCAAGTAGTATATTATATCATGATAAAAATCCAACAACTCAAGATTGTAAGTAGATTAACAAATTTAATAAATTAATTTTAATCAAAATTTATGGGTTTTTGGAAAAACAATCAGTGACTTAGTATTTTTACAATAAAATCACATGTACAGACAAATTATTATATATATATATATATATATATATATATATATATATATTAATATGATATGTTTTTAATGGTATCTAGTACTCAAAGGTTATACAGTCAAACTTGGTTAACTTGAAGTTGAAGGGACCGGAAAAAAGTTCGAGTTATCCAAATAAAAATTTTTTAAAACAGTACAAAATATATTAATTTCTATGTATTTATTATTAATAAAGTAATGCAACAAAAAATATTTACTATATAATTATATATGAGTTATGTATATGTAATTTTAAAAAGATATTTATTTTTGTTTGAGTTTTGCTGTTGATTGCAGCGTTTGTAGTGAATCGATCTAAACCATTTATCGATAACGATAACACTAATAACTAATAAGTAATGAGCAATGACCTTATTTTCGATATTAAAATGTATATATAGGTACAAAGGGAAATATCAATATTTTATAATATTAATAAAACTCAAAAATTCGAATTATCCACGAAAATATTCGAGTTAAACAAGATTTTTTCACATTGTTTAAATAGGAGATTCTAGGGATCGGAGAAAAAGTTCGAGGTATCGACGATTTCAAGTTAAAGAAGTTTGAGATAACTAAGTTCGACTGTATTATGAAATTATTAAATACTATATCAACAAATAAAAATATTTTTGGTTTGATTGATAGTCGTTGATTTTACTCAATTAAATGGCGCTGTGGACTTTTATATAATTGGATTTGATGGTTTTAATCCATGCAATAAAGATTTTAGAAACGGAACTGTTCCACTTAACGGTTCCCATTCTTTGGTAAAAATATTATGTCCAGTCTTTTAAAAATGATATAATTTTTTTATATTTTGCAGATGACGTTGTCGAAAGCTTTAAATGCTTCATCAATTGATAGGAATAAAGTTTATCTTGAATTATACGCTAATCCTATTATTGATTCATCTGAATCCATCTTACCCATGAGTGGAATAACATATACAAAAGTATAAAAATATTTTAATTTTATTATTATATGATAATAATATTGTTGTTCATGAAAATAATTTTTGATCTAGTTTGTTATAAACAAGAAATATAAAATACGTTTTTAATATTTGGGAAAAACTAAAAAAAAAGCAGAAAACAAAAATATAATTAATATCAATTTTCGATAAAATAAATTTTTGTAGTTGTTTTCCTCGTGAATTATGATAAAATATTATTTATATTCATAAAGTAATTTTAAAATTATATAAGCAATATGAAAAAGGGTTAAATAATGTGAAAACAGTTCAGCCCTCATGTAGTGATTTTTCCTTGAAAAAAAGATATTTAAAAAAAAAAAAACTATTGTTAATAATGATATATATATATATCATTATAAAAAATATTTCAATATATTTAAAAACTATAACATTAACTATACTAATATCATCCTATCAAACGTAACTTTAAGTAAATAAATGTAATCTTCATTTAAAATTATTTGGAATTTATGCACTAAAAAATTGCATATTAAAAATTCAATTAGGTTTTTAAAGTTAAATACATGTAACTGATTAAGGATTAATGCCCCCAATCATGATATAGCAAAGTGAATTCCCGGTTTTTTTTCTTTTTTTGTTTTACACTATTACTCAAATTCTATTTTTTAGAATATTTATGTATAATTAAGGATTATATTTTGATTTAGTTAGATTTGATATAATATTTGAGAAGTTTTACTTTTTATTAGAGCATACAAAAAGGAGGCTAGGTTAGATATACTTTTTTCTCGGCATCTTTTAAGCGTCGGAGTACGAAGGTTAATAATAAAAATATTCAAATTCCTTCATATAAATTTATTTTTTAAGTGTCGACATTCGACGTGACATAGCAGAGTTGGACGATGATTTAGTTATTAAATGTTTAATATTTTCATTATTAAATATTCATTGTTAATTGTTACCTAACTGTTTAATGTCGTAGATACAGCTAATATGCCTACTTGTAGTTGCTAGAATGTTTTTATTTCAATACTGAAAACTGTAAATTTAGTAAACTTTTGTGATTATTTTATTTTATCATATCCTGTTATGACGATTGAGTGGTAACGGTATTAATTTATATTTGATTTCGAAAAACTTTGGGATGACTCTAGATTTTATTCGAACCCATTCAATGATAGTGTAAAATCTTAAATCTTAACTTAGATACATGTAACCGATAACTGTTTAATTTTACCTAGAGCTTCCTTGATTTTTTTTAATATTTGTATTTTTTTAAATTAAATAAGATAAATCAATTAGTTATGTACTATTAAAATATCAAAATAAATTTAAATAAACCACTAGTGTAAATTATATTTATATATTGATATTTTACACATTGAATTAACAATGTATTATTTTTAAGAATATTAAAATAATCGTAATATTTCATAAAAAATATTTTAAAAATTACAGCTTTGTGAAGATTCTAAGAAAAAAAATGAATGGTGTGCAGATAATTCGGATTCATTCTATGAAAAAGTTATACTTTATACAATTTAATAAGATATTAAGTATACACATTTTAAATATTATTATTTTTAATCTATAGGCGAAGTTTGCTAAAGAAACAATAAAAGCACAAGGAATCGTAACGAAGTATATTGATAGAATTGATCCTACTGGAGCCTGCAATTGTGATTCCAAGAATCAATTCATAACATTTAAAATGATTTTACGTGGCTTTAAACTTGAAGATCCTATTACAGATTGTACAGCATTAAATAAAATGTAAGCGTATGAAAATAGTAAATCAAATAAAGTAAATTCAAATACTAATAATTGTTCAAGTCAATCTTCAAATTACCTTTTATCGTAATTTTTAAAATGTTTATTAAGGCTTTATCTTTTGAGTATATCATAACTGACCTGCGATATTCAAATTTAAAGACCACCTAAAACCTCTAACATTACTCTAAGAATTTCATTCATTCCAATCCATAAACTTACGTAACATCATAGGCGCTCCATGTTTTGTCAGTAATTAGTCTCTAGACAACGATCTAAAACTTCACTTCTCAAACAAGATTCTCAATGTTTCGATCTTATGAAAAATTATAGTAAGCCATAACTTATCACCCAAATAACGTTCTTTTTCTAACATAATCAATCTACTACGTCGTTTAAAACGTTATTTTTCAAAAGATATATTAAACAATTAATTTTAATTGATGATTTTTTGATATCATAGTTGTGTCACTAAATACTATCATTTATAAAGCTTTCATGTTCATATCATACATTTGTAAAATTTATTTATATAAACAATGTATAAAGATTTTAAATATTCTATAATAAAAAAAAAGTACAATATGAATTACACATTGTATCATAAAATGTGCATTTTTATGTATATCTTTGTCAAAAATAATTTTTTCTATGTCTATAGTTTTCTATGAATCTTGTTTAATATATTCACAGATATCGTAAATTTATAATATATCTATTTTCTTAAAATGTTTTATAAAAATTACAATTGAGTTTTAATTCTTAAAACTTTCACAAAGTAGGGAGAAATACAAAAACTAACACAATAATCCAAAATATTTTAAAACGATAGTTTTGACATTTTGAAAAGATAATTCATAAAAGTAGAAACAAAAGTAATTAGTAGGTAGTACATAAAGAACTGAAAACTAAAAAAAAAACTGTGGCCCACCGTTGTCTAAGACTACTACGGTATCCGTGGCATGTGCCCATAATTAGTCAATTTAAATTAAATTTATAAGTGATTTAATTTGATACAAATATGTAAAACTTTTATCTATTATTATTACTTTATATTTTTATTTTAAAGCGGGTAATTTAATATTTTCTATCTTGGCTAAGTTCATGTCATGAAAATAATACATATGTGGTGAATACTTAATAAATAAATAGTTAAAAACTAGTGTGATATTTTGATACATTTTTTTTGATTATTATTGTAAGTCTAATTTATTGAAACATTTTTGGAATTTTTAAATGTACTTATAGACCGTAGTTTGTCGCAGTGATAAGAACTTTTATTTTGTTTTGTTTTTTTTTTTTTTATGATAATTCTACTTTTATACTGTAAATTATTTAATGAATATAATTATAAAAAAAAAAAAAAAAAAAAAATGATGAGAGTTTCTAATTCAAAATTCAAATAAGCAAATTAAAGCGGCTTTTGAACTTTTTATATTAAGGATAGTTCTTAAAAATAGTTTCATAAAAATATTTGTAATATCGGATTTAGTATTTATTACACTAGAATCAATTGTATGAAGCATAAAATATTGATAAATTAATATAAACTACTAGAAATTTTCAAATCACCATAGTTCTCAAATTTTTCTAATTTTTATCATGAACCAATTATCTTTGGTTCACAAAGGCAAATAACTCAAAAACTACTCATTCGAATTCGGACATTAACACGTCAAAATTTGTCAGTAAAACTATCCACTAAACAATTTACTTCATAAAAGGGGGATTGTAAATTTTTATTAGAAAAACAAAGAAGTTTGTATCTTAATAGAATACTCTTCAAATAGTACATAAAATGCCAAGAATTTTAAACTATGGTCTTAAATTAAGAATATTTAAATTTTTTTCAGGAATCAAAATCACTTGACGAATAATTAGGTAACTAAAGAAAAAAGAGGGGGTAAGCAGCATGCTTGGTATAGTGAACGAAAAGATCATAGGTAAAAATTAAAACTTTTTTGAAAATTCAGATATATCAGGTCGTTATGACGGTAAGATTGACTTCATAAACATATTTGGTTCATAATAAAAACTAGGTGATACTAATACCATATACTAATACTAATACTACTACTTCAGTCTACTGCTACTATAATGGGAGCACTACTACTATACACACGTTTTCCACTTTGATGGGCTCGGTGTGTATTCACCGTAATTTGTCGGCCGACCTAATGACTTCCGTGGCCTGCCGCCACGCGCGAGGAACGTAATAATTATTACACTAGCGGTTGTCCGTCGGCGAAACGCGGTAGATCGCACAAAAACGTGCCGAGGAAACGTAGTATAACGGCGAATTACGAATGACCGCAATTTAGGTGTAATTTTCAATTTACAGAGTTTCCGTGGTAAACATATAATCGTACTATACCAACTGCTGCCGTCCTACCGCGATAATAATAATTTTGATCTCTCGCCGCTGCAGTGTATAAGTTTCCTTCCTGGATCCTTTGCTGCGCCCCAACAAACGACGGTAAAATATATTTTATCCCTCGCTTGACCAGCTCCTTCCTCCCCCCTCGCATTGTTAGGAAGTTATTCATTGTTTCAAACTAAAAAACATTCTTCGCTAATCTGTTAGGTGTAATGCGCCCGTTGAAAACTTAAGGTTCGCTATAGAAAACGATATTAATGGTAGATTGTTTGTATTTTACGTTAGTACATTTACTGTAGTGAGAAAATCGATTACTATGTGGTAACGGATTTATTAAGCTATACAGACGTTAAGAAGTGAAATCGAATTGGAATCATAAATCAAATGTTAAATGAAAAAAAAAAAAATTAACTTACGTCAGCTTTGGGCTCTGCGTGTACTATACAGACAATTTCGGTTTCTTGTCCTTCCACTGTGAATACAATAGACTGCTCTTCTTTAACTTCCGGAGGATCTAAAAAATTCCAAAATCATAATCTAAATAAAGTCAAATATATGTTATAAAATAAATACATTTGTGAAGTATTTATGATATTATATGTACCTAGATATTAACTATTAAACCATATATTATAAAATTGTATTTGTTTAGCATTTTACTAGACATTTTAATAAGTCAAAATTGAAATTTAGTTGTTATTTTATGAATTGTCATAAAATTTATAAAATCCTTGTACATCTTAACATATTACAAGTAGTAGGCACTAATAATATTATGAATACTTATATACTTATAATATTTTTTAGTTATATTATTAAAATACAAATCAGTGTTGCGTTTTGTACGAGAACAGCACAACTCCTTGCTAGTTACGCAAAGTATGTTGTTTGTAATTTATTTATGGAGGAGGTTAGGTTTAATCTCAGAATAGGACGCGAGAATAGAAACTTATATTTTTATTAGGAACTTAACAAAAGTACACTGTACATCATCTCTGATAAAACATATCAAAATAAGGAACAATTATTTCTCGTTAAAATATTAAAGACGCGTTGTTCAATGTAACCATCATTGTATAGAGTGATTCACCAAGCATGCTCACTTATTTTTGGAACTTTTAAACATAATATGTTCATTTTAATAGGTCTATAAGATAATATATGGGCTATGGTGATTCGAAAATTTCATTAATTAATATTAATCGAAAATTTATAATAATTTCAAAACTATTTTTAAGAAATATTATCCTTAGCATAATAACTATATTATTTTAATAATTGAGAAACTACTCGATTCTTCAGGTTCATGAATCATCTAGTATAACTACATGTTGTGAGCACGACAAAGTACAATATTATATATATATATATATATATATATACATTAAATATTTTGTGGTACGCGTGATGTTTATCTTTCCGTTGTATACATAACTCGTACTGATATAAAATAATATATATTATATACATGTGTAAAATAAACCATACATAATGTATATTATATAGAAATATATTCTATATTGAATGATACTGTTTTGTCGTTAGATGACGATTGCGTTTCCTCGATACAGGGTCGGCATTCGATCTCGCTGTCGAAAACCTTAATCAGATAAACCTCGTTGCGATGTATATTCGGTCGAGTTGCAGGCCAAGTTGAGGGTCGGATTGGGATGTGACGAGAAAACGACTTATATATATATATATATATATATATATATATAAATACGGTAGTATCGATGAGAGACGGACGTAGAGTGTGCTCTCCAAATTTTGCGCAAACACACAAACTTTACCTCTGTGTGCCTCGATACCCCTCGGCTCGGCTACAATGATTCACGTGCGCGCAATACAATTTAGAAGTCCTGTACTGCACACTTTCCCCCCGTCGAATTGTACACATATACACACACGACATAGTCTATAATCACGTTATCCTTGTCGTCGTCGTTGTCGTCGTTGGCGAACGATACGACGGCGACACTGGCGGCGGAGTAAACAAACGCGCGCACACGATCGGGCGCGCGGATAACCCTATTTTAACAAAATGTCGATTTGGAAAAAATACAAAATAATTTATATATATATATTGTTCGTCTTTATTTTTTATTTATTTATTTATTTGGTTTTTTTTTTTTTAGTATGTGTATGTTATATTTTTGTTTGGAGGCAAGAGCAATCGATTCGAAAGGGAGAGTTGCTAGAAATTTAAAGAGAACGTTAACGAACTCTTATTGTTTGGAAACAACGGACCACATGATTTTTATAAGAGTATAGATATTAACATTGTTGATTTCATTGGCGTGTGTTTTTTCTCCATCCGTTTCCGTTCGATTTTCTTTGTGAAGTAGCAAAAGAAAATAAGAATAACGATAAATGCCTGCTGGCGTACATTTTCCAGAATAAACAGACGCCGCTAGCATATTTGAGCCCATACGGGTTTTCGAATGCGCTTTTCTACTTTTCTAAAAACGTCGGGGGAAAAAATTAATTCTCTCTTGCGATATTATTTTCTTTACATCTTTTTATCCCCCATGTCCTTTTATATTCTCGAAAACCGACAGTGACGCCTTTTTCTTTACGTTACTATGCATAAATATATTATATGCATAGGAGTTTTTTTTTCTTGGGCTATACAAATAAATGTATTATAAAAATCCGTGTGCATGCGTTCGCATATACTGTCTTCACATCGTCCCAATATAGTTGCAAGCAACGATTCGCTATTTTCGGCTTTCAGAACGCGATTACAAATATTTTTTTGAACACTGTCCACCCACATAATGGTTGTGTGGGCGTGTGAGTGTGTAAGTGTATATACGTTAAAACATTAAATGTCAAATATAACGAAACAAATAAAACACGCCACAATTTATTCAAGTGTTAACTGGACAGTTTACGTACGCGGGTGGTGACTTTTATAATATGTACAGATTAAATAATAAATATTGTGTTAATCTTTTGTTGCATATAACTGTTTGTGCGCTAAAGTGATTTTTTTTAAAAAAAAGATTTTTATTTTTGTCTTAAGTCAAATATATCAAAAATTCTCGAAAGTATAGATTTAAACTAGATGAAAGTAGAACGCGAATAATATTATACATTTATACAAATTATATGATATGCGAGTACTGCGATGTTTTCGATCCCTCATGAATAACAAGACCATACATGATGTTTTGATAATTTTCAAGTTAACGATTTTCCTCACGTCAACCATAAACGTTTTTAGCCAATTTTTTTTCGTTTTTGTTTTCGTACATTAGATAACACTGTTTTAAAAGAACAACGAATTTTGTACAACGATAACGCGACTATGTACGTAATATTTATATTTTTAGTGAACGCCATGACGTCAAAAATGAGTTATTATTATTATTTTTTTGTTGTTATTCAAACGTTTAGGGTGCGTATACATTTTGCGACGAGTCTAATAGCCGCGTAAAGTTGCGTATTATAGGTAGACACCCCCCGGACGGACGTCAAGTGCTTGTTGCATATTTTATCGGGCGGTATACACCTAGCCAAGCGTATTCACCATAGCCAAATCCTTATGAATTTTTATTAGTGACGGATTTTCTCGGCACACGTGTCTTGTCGCATTTCTGTTACGAGATGCGTTCTCACGCCAATGATTCCATTATCCGCCGACTTCGTGTATAATTAATATTGGTAACAATGGAAAAGTTTAATTGCCTTGTTCGGGGTACGCCGAAAATACCCGTTTCCTTCCCGGAGTACAATAGAAATTACAATAAATAAATACGCCTCTACCGTGAACTCAATGAAATTTCACCATGAATCAAATATATTTTATTAAAATAGCACGCGCGGTATAATTGCTACTCCATAACTCACATTATAATAAGTATACTTTTGTATCCGGCAGAAAATAATCGAATCACGGCATACAGTATAACTATTGAATTTAATGTCAGTAAATTTAAATATAACTATTATTTTAGAGGGATGTTAAGGCGTAGGCCAAAAATATTTTTAAATTATCTTCACAACGATAACAAAATACGCGAGTACGTGACGAACAGAGTATAATAATATTATGTGCACGAAAAAATGACGTTATTCTGTGCAACAGTGTACAAAAACTTAAAAGAAATTATTTTATTTAAAATATTCCATTTAGAATACTACGGTATTTAACTTTTCAGTATGGGTTTTTAATAAAAACGATAATTTATTGTAAGATAGAAATGTGTACGCGTGTATATGCATAATATAATATAACATGTTGACAATTGAATTAGCTGTGATTATCAAATTGTATGTGTGATGAAATTCAACGTGATCCATTTATATACATAAACCTAATCTGGCCAATCTAATAATAAAATATATTTTCCACTTCTTTCTGTTATGATTAATTCTTTCGAGATATTTTGTTATATTCAATATAAAGAAGAAGAGAACGTTTTTAAATTCGAACAAACGCGTGTTTCAAAACTTAATATTTTAATACATAGCATATTTGAATAATAAAATAACTTACAATATTAAATTATAACGAGAAGAAAATAATCATCAAAACAAATTAAAATATGTCAAATGTTATTTAATATTTTGTATCATAAGAATAAAATATTTTAATAATGATTAAAAAATTAAACAACGAGGTTAAGCCAAAAAAATTGAAAAAGATTGGAGAATTATAATATGATGGGGATGTAAATATGTAATGTAAAAAAGAAAAACATTGGATCGATATAATGCGTGAATTAAAATTAGTTGAGAATGTAACGACTAAAATCACACATGGCTTCATTGTGTGTAATTAGTAGTGGAATAAAGATCGATTAGAGGTATGAGGGAAGAACATTGTGAATTTTGATATAGCTAGTATGAGCTATATAATTGTATAGTTTAATAGGGCAATAAATTAAATGCGCGTAGATACACTAAATTTGATTTTATGATACATTATTATTCCGAAAAATAAAATAATATTCCTAAAAACCAAATTGTATAATATTTTAATTAAAAAAAAAAAAACTAAACTAGTATTTACACAACATTTTACGTAAAATTAATTGTACTAATGCTCTTACAGCCAAAATTTATTTTAGTTCAATAATTACAAAAAATATACATATTTATATATTTTATTAAAATTTGAATATACTACCAATTGATATGATATAAACATTGTATAAGTGAATTAAATAATATTTATTCGATAAATCGTGTATTTATTTTTGTATTTTTATTTACAATAAATAACTTTAACTATAAGCAGGTAAAGTATGAAAAGCTACTTTTTTTTAGGACAAATACTCAAATGAACAAAGTTAAAATATGAAACTTAGATTTAGTTTATTATTACTTTCTGATAAATACTGTCTTCACATTTAATATTTTTCTATCAATATTTAATGTTCTATAAGTTCTTACATTTTTAAATAAATTCGAAAATATTTGTTAATATTTAATTAATATGTCTTATATGCACTCTTATTATCAATAAAATCACCTAAATTAAAAACTAATAATTAGTTATTAAATCTAAATTCAGATTTCGTAAAAAATAATTGAAAACCTTATTATACCTTATTAAACCTTATTATTATATTCTTACATATTTAATGTAATACCTATAATTCATACTACATAAATAATTAATAATTTAATTTTTCTTATAGATGTTATTTAAATAATCAGAATTTATCAGTAGATAGTAGGACACATAGTGCTCTAATTCTGACAAGTACGTTTATATATAGTTATTTTATATTTTTATATAACATCGATATTATATTATTATATAGTAGTACGATACTTACATAGTATATTTAAATCGATTTCTTCGTTCACAGTTGTTCCGATATTATTTGAGGCAGTGCAGATGTAAACTCCATCGGCTTGTCTTCGAACAGAGTCAATTGTGTACGAGTTTCCAACAAATGTCTTTTCGCCATTTGGCAACATATTGTTCTGAAAAACAACCAAACAAATTAAGTGAAATTTAGGATTATAGGAATCTGGTTTATCAAAATGCCGGGCTTGTTATAATTGTAATGTGTTGTTGAACGCGTGATTAACGATAAAATATAATCATTATTTATATTCAAAAAATAATTTTAATTAGAGCTTAGTCTGCTATAATGATAAACGGTTACAAGTTATAACTTACAACATCCTCAGGATCCCATAATTTGTTAAATCTATTCTCTGAATTAATTTCAACAAATTGATTTTTATTGTATTTTTTAAAACCTTACTTGTTTATATTAATTATTAACTATTTTCACGGTTATTGGTTGTTTATAAAGTGTACATTAAATTTATTTCACTTTTAATCGATGTAAAAATAGGTATCTACTTGAAACATCGATAGTTTTATAAAAGCTACAAGTGTAAATATACATAGACAAAATTCATAATTTTTAAACCAATACATATTTGGCTTTGCTTAAAGTTTAAAATAATATATGTTATTTATGAGAGTAAAATATAAAATGTTTTTATTATCGTTTAAGTTTTAAATTTAATAATATACTATTGTATCAAGAAAGAAATTTAAAATTACTTTTCTACGTTCAATCTACCGTGTTTACTGTGTAGGTAACTATATAGTTAATGAAAAATTTAAAAATAATAATAAAGTCGCAGTAAAGTAGATTATGTAACAATAAAAATTATCAAATGGGTATAGGATGGTCGAGACCATTTGTTTTTTGGTAGTTTATAATTTCAAGAAAAAGTGCTTATATATAGCTGTTATATTTAGAGGTTTTTCTAAAAACAATTTTAAATTATCATCTCATTTAAAAGAATTGAAATTGAAAAACTTGTGAAATTTACATCATACCCGGTTTATTTATTCACGAAGGACAAAGATGTTTTATATCAACTTTTTTTTCTTTATAATATCAGTACAATTTGTAATTTAATTTTTGAACTCAAACATCTTTTTTTACATAGTTATCAAAGTGAATATTTAAAACCCTCGTTGGTGATATTGCAAAAGTTAAATTTGATTTATTGTATTAGGTATAATAATTACTTTCATAGAGTAGCTTTAGTTGTTTCAAAGTCCACAAGAAGGGACTATACTAAAATTGAATTTTTGTCTTCAATCCGTGTAAATTGGAGTGCAAAATAATATCTTGTACCTTTTTATACTATAAAAAGTCTCCCACCAGCGATTCATAATATATAGTCACGTCATTAGATCAGTATACACTATAGTATAGTGACTATACAATAATAAACATTAATTTAATTATTATGATTATAATATAATCATATTACATTTATTATAATATTTTCGATTTTCGGATCTAAAGTCAATATTATTCACTAGCGCGGTATAACGGAACAATACATTTTTGTATTCAATTGTTTATTTTATTTTTATTTGTCGTTGTTGTTGTTGAACGCAAAAGCAAAACAAATGCCATCGTTACACAAAATAAATCCTATTATCATTTTAATTTACAATGGGAAAATTGATATTTTACGAGTATGGTATCATAATTAATTGCATCGTATTCCATTCGTGCTTATAAAATAAATAAATTAAACATATTTTATATTTAATTAAGCACGGCTGTAAATAATAACTAAATTATATAATCATATGTTCGCTGGTCAGAATAATAGTTATAAAATATTACAATGATCGTTAATGGGGTAAATAAAATATGTTTTGCGCGTATGGACAATAATATACACAATAATATAGTGTAATAACTATTATATTAATACAACGCAAATGTTTTTGTGTTATGCATGCAATATAAAAAGTAAAAACAAGTAATAGGCACTACACACGTAAACGTACACGCAAAAATGATGAAAAGTACTAACTCAAAATTATAATTCTAAACGCAGTATTTATATGATATTTGAGAATTCGTTTATTATTTTACCGAAAATTTAAAGTGTACATTCGTATTTCACATTTAACGTTTGTAAAGTTTAATATAACCGTTCATTTATAAATGAAACGATACGAGCCCAATGCCTATGATTCATGTAGCGTCGACTATTTAACTTAATTTTTATCATCAGAAAAAATGATTTGGATTTTTGATAGTTGCAATCTTGACATATTTAAACCTATAACCTACATTGTTCATGCGTGTGAACCAAACAATATGAATATTTATAGGAATTATTATTATAACAGAATACAACAACGTGTATTAATTTATGTTTACACTGTTTATAGTATAAAAAGTATATTCTAAAGCCGTAATATCTTTGATTTTATTATACATATGTGTGTCGTATTTCGTATTGAGTTCAACATCGGAATACATTAATGGAAACATTTTTAAAAGGTTTTATCTTTTTATGTCTACTCTACATTCACATTTTTTCATGCTCAGACAAATAGGGTTTCTGTCAAATTTTCAGTTCTATGTCCTTGGTGTTGAATTGTATCAAATGTTCCCAGTAAATCATTCATAATAATAATATGTAGCTGACGGAAACTTGTGTGAAATGAAATACTTAATGCGTTGTAAACATGTTTATTCTATGTGTATACAGCGCTTTAAGTTTTTGAACACACACACATAAATAACGCAGAGAGCAACGAGAGTCTGCTGTATAATGGAAACAGTTGACTAACATTAAGATTTCAGATATATCATAATAAACGCGCAATGCGTCGAGTTACATATATGAAAAAAATCACGTTATTTGCGATTTAAAGTCACATTTCTTAAAAAGTTATAGAATCCTATTTTTTGTTATTGTTGTAATTTTCGTGTATTTAAAATAAAGAATAAAGTTAATTCAGAATTATCCATTTAGGAGGAAGTTACTATACAAGACTGTATAGTAATTTGCGAAACATAAATATACCAAAACTCTACGCTCTTGCTTAATTTGCATAATAAAGCATATTCGTTTGCAAAATAAAATAAAAAAATAAAAAATAGTAATAGTAATAATAATCATTATTTATCGTTTAAAAATATATAAAAAAACACTTCGATACTTATATACAGCCACATAGGCATAATGTAAAATATTGAAGAAAGTTAATATAGTTTTGAAAATTTTTACATTATATTGACTGTCCAAAAAAAACTGTTGTCGGTTGATGGTATTCTAGGTCTAATTTCATTGATTAAAAATAAAATTTGTCGATGAATTACCAGTTGAATTATGCCCGAGATAGCATTCAGCCAATAAAAATGAAAAAAAAAAAATTACTAGAAAATGATGAGCCAGAAAAGCATCAATACAATAATAGTTTATCCAATGTGAACGCAAGCCTATAAAATGGACTGTTTATATACATATGAAAATCAAATTGATAATATTATATAAATTTATTTTAGTTTTGAGAGAAAAAAAATATTTTAGATGGCCATATGGCTGTACAAGATATCAATTGGAATAATAATTGAATTTAACAATAAAATATATCATACATGACCTTATTTTATTGCAAATCGATATCAGGCACATCGTCTAAAATATCTAGATGTACAAATATAGATTGTATGATAACGCATACAATATCCGGTAAACAATTACGTATATGATTAGTTTGTAATGTTTAAGTTGATAAAGATTATATAAGTATAGTTTTGAATTCATTGCCTTGTCAATACTTGAATGTTTGAAAAGCGATTATATAATATAAATAAATTTAAAAAAAAAAAACAAAGATTAAAGATTAAAGACAGATTTAATAAATAATGTTTTTTTTGAATATATTATTTAGTAATTAGTTTTTAATTAATTATAATAATTTAATCTTTTTAAACGTAAGTCATATGTGATCGCAGAGTACTTATTTTTTTATTCAACGCTCTCATATCTATACACGCAACACATTTACATTAGTTAACTGGCGTAGTTCAACATGTACCTATTTTACACAATATCTCAAATAGTACGAAAATTGTGTTATATAAACTCAAAATTTTTTTGATTTATTCTCAAATGATAATACTTGTGAATGCCGTTAGTACTATTGAATCTTGTATATTAAAAAATTAAGTATAGTAGCCTAATGTGGCGCAGTGATTAGCCTCAGTTACTAACGTGTTCTGAGGTTAAGCATTGGCCGGTGTCGCTAGATCTTGGATGGGTGACCATCCGATTTTTTGGTGACAAATCCATGTCACACAGCATGTGTTTCATAATTTTACAAAATTCTCAAAGCCACCTACACTTTACAGCTAATGCCTTTTGCCAAGCTTAGATAATAATAATAAACAAATGAAGTATGGTGACTAATAATTATTATTATTTTTCTGATTGATTATTTTTCCAGAGTAAGATAATTAATAATACATTGTTAACACATTTCAACACTCAGAGATTTGGACTAAAGTTTTCAAGTGTTCGTTCTATATACCCTGAGTTCCATTCAACAGTTTGAATGGTACAAGATAATATCATCGAAAATATAGATAAAGAGGATAAAACACACCTTTCGTTTTATACAAAACATATCTTTCAATGCCTGTTGTACCTATATGTACCAGGTACTTAACTTTGTTTTGTTTAATACTAACGGCGATGATGGTATATAGGACATACGTAATGCAGCACGTGTAGGTCAATTTGAATGAGAAAATAATTTAAAAATTGTCTCTGCATTTATTAAAGGTGCATTTGACACTTTATCATGCATGAAAAAGACTAAAATGAATATGGACTTACTTCAAATGGTTTAGGATAATATATCTAAAAAACAGTAAAGATTCTTATTGCCTTAATTTAGCACAACGTTTTATAAACACATTTTATATAATGGTTACTGAATGCTGTGACCTATTTTAACACATGAATGAAAATTCAAAATTGCTTAAATTATATTTTAACAACTTTGTGATAACACACTTTCGCCATTTAAAGATACAGAGCATCACAAACTGCTATTTTAAATCCTAGTTTTCAAACTAGGTTAGGGTTATATTATGACCGTGAATTATTCTATTCGAACATTATTTTTATGATACATGTAA